GGGGGGGTACAGGTTTTTCGCCCGGCGGCGCGGCGCAGTGATCAGTCCTTCTCCTCTTTCGTCCAAGTGTGCTGTGCCATCTGATATAGATGATCTATCATCTCTCTGCTGCACCAGGCAAATAAAAACGGATCCTCGCTGAGAATGAACACAGTCTTTTTCCCATATTTTGCATTTATCTTGTTTCGCTCAAGCCGCAGATCTTCGAAGACATCCTGGTGATTTCGCTCTGTCGTCACAAAATCTTCACTGCCAATTTTTTCTATGGTCCCTGTGGTTGGCATGTCATCAGAGTTTCCATTCTCTACATCCTTCCTATGATTTTGAAGCTTACTCTGCATTAAGTCCCGCTTCAATTCGACTGCTTTTCTGTGCTTTAATTTTTTCTTGAGCTCATCCCTCTGCCCACCGCGTATACTGGCACGAACAGGATGGTCACTGGTATGGCAATGTTCCCCTTGTGCTAGAAAATTGAAAAATGAGAATTATAACCTTTTTGGGGCACATGTTCATAGGTAAACAAATACATACAGAGTTAACTACGGCAAACAAAAGATAGGACCAAAACCAAAAGTTTCTAGAACACTTAAGTTTTAATGAAAGTATTGTTTACAGATTGTGAACTCAGCAGTGAACTACTGTCACTTCACCATAAAAGTAAAAGACAAGTTTTTTTAACGTAAGAAGCACAATGGTCAGCATAAAAAAAATTACATAAAATAGCCTCACACCTAAGAGGGTTTGTCAAGCCAAAAAGAAAAAAATTAAAGATGATCAACAGAAAAAACAAATGGGCAAAACTTCTGATTCAACAAGAATTTGAAGTGCCTCTTGACAATTTACTTACATTCCAAAAACAGAGAAACACAATGAGCATTATTTCTGATTGAGTGAACATCTATTGAAATTTCATTGACAATTAAAATAGAAGAAAAAAAAAATTCAACGCAGAAACAAAGAAAATTTCTAATATATAGCTCCAAAAAATTTTGAATAAATTATTCTGACACTTATTGGGATACAACATAAGTTGTGATGCCCTGAAACACTTATTATTCAGAACAGAAAAGCAAGACGTAGGTATGCAATTCTACACACACTAAATTAATGTAAATAGCCATTCACTTGCTTTTCATAGCCTGCCTGGATGAAGTTCCTCCACAACATGCACACAGTCTCCTGCAACAAAACAAATCAATGACAAGAAATTATTGAAGTTCTGAAGCCAAAATAGCGGCTTCAAAATGTGTTGAGGTATTACTCTATGAATATTTCCAGTGGGGTCAAATCTAACATCATTTGAAAGAAGGCGAAAAACTGATTCTAAAACACCAATGTCAAAAAGTTGGATTTGTGTTTTCTACCCTTTGATCAAAGCTATCAACAAAATTTAGCATATTAGCGTAACTCTCATTTTACAGCTTCCTCTATTAAGGTCCCTTAACATTCTCTAATTTTTGTGAGAGGGTAATATTCAAAAAATTATGAAAAAAAATTTACTAGATTTTTTCATGCAAACACAACACAATACAACGATGACAATTTTACTCACTCACACCTAGGAGAGGAGGAAAGTTCCTGCTTTGCTTTAGTAAAGGGTGAGCAAAAGCTGGTTTTAATCAGAAGTCTTTCAGCTGTTCACCAATTTACCTATTGGTACAGCTTTCACTAATTGTCAATACAGCATGTAGACACACAATTTTTATGTAAAGGTATTTTGTACAAAAATTTCAACACATATAAAATCATATGCTTCCTGTATTTTAATAAAATGATTAAAAATGTTGCCACTCACCAGAAATAGCAGAAAAAAAATCAGAAAAGGAGTTTGGCTTCATTTTCATAGTCCATTTTAGCCATATCAACTCTGAATATCAGATGCTAAAAAAAACAAGGGAAACTATGAATACAAAATGAATTTTGTGCTAAGTAGGAAACTCGTTCTTAACCAAACCACGGTAGTTCTTCAAAATCAGTTCCTGCTTTTATCTCAGAGTAATGGAGAAGTGTGTGTATAGGGTAATGGAAGGTTTTCTGTGGCGATAAAAGGTACATTTAAAACGCTCGCGCGCTCACTGTGAAGTAGTTACTATGTCCGCCCGCAGATGGCAGCACGGATGGCGCCGCCATAACCTCACGCACTCCTCCACCGTCACAGGACTTGCAAGTTTTTAGGAGGATCTGTTAAGTAAACTCATAAAAATGCTTCGGTAGCGACTCTAAACATGTTAATAAAACAGTTTCATTAACATCTCGTAAGTTCAAAGATGCATGCATCATCCATTTTCGTTGCTTAACTACGTTTTTCAACACGCTCAAAATAAGCTCTGGTCTGGGACTTAGAATGAAAACACCCAAAATTTGTTAAGAGTGCTCAAAATTATACTATTATTAAACCTGAAAAAAGGTTCATTGCTTTAATTGAGACCAGCGTTCCCGCTTTACAGTGGTACTATTGTCATGTCTGTAGGTGTTGTGTGTTCTGAGATGAAAACAGGAACAGGAAAAGGGTTACACAGCACTGAGAACAATACTCGTTCTCCCTACCAACGAGAAGGGAAAGTGGGTTGGTAAAGAACGAGTAAAAAGTCAGGGAAATTTGGTCTGACTGGTCCCCAAACTGCAGTCTATTCGCTGTGTAGGTCAAATACACATTTTGACGTCCCAGTAGGGTATTTTGTCCGAAAAGTTTTCGCGCTCGCTTCGCTCGCGGTCTTGTATTACGGTTAGGGGTATTTGTTTTTCGCAGTACTTCACCAGGAACGGTGCTTAAAACTCAAGGAAATTTGGGGAGAAATGGTCTGGAAATCAGGGAAAACTCAGGGAAAATGGAAATGAAAATTTTGTGGCAACCATGTGAGACCAGAAGACTTGACTGTTGTGTCCAAGATGAACTCCAGTCATCCTTTCCATAAAGGACACTCTCTCTCCAAGGAGCAGTCTGTTAGTTCATTTCGTCCAAGTTTGTCTTGTTCGGCTTCAACTCCTTCCAGTGGTAAACATTTCTTGTCTTTATTTTCTGAAAAGCTTTCCATCAAGGGTACCCTGTGAGTTTCTTAAGTTTATGTTCAGTCTCAATGACTTACATTTTACTATTTTCTTCATAGATCATACTACAACAAAAGTTAATGATACCTCCAGAGGGGTTTTAAATAATCATGATCATGCCACACCCACAATGGTTCCACCTTCTAATTCTTCAAGTGCTGCTCTTCATCCCCAGTCAACAACGCAGAATCTTAACAGTAGTTCTACCGGTAACTATACTTTATACATCGAGTTTGATCTAGGTTGCTTCTGTTGACTAATCAAATATAATAATCATGCGTTTTGTTTTGTAAGGTACTGCTCAGCAAAAGTTTTTTCAATTAATCCTCAACAAAGTAAACAAGATTTTGCTGACTCAAAAGAATCATACACAGTTGCTGAATCGACTTGTAGCCCACTCTGGGATTGAGGGACCAACCACTCCTCGGCCTAGTGGCTGGCCTGAGAAACTTCCTCTACAGGATGAAGTACAATTTTTTGCCTGGGAAAGATTTTTGCGCTCCAACTCCAATTATGACTATGCTGTAAGCCTCTCCAAAATTTTACTCCAATTTATTCCTGTTGTTTTTGTCTGTTTAAAGACCAACATCAGTTTTGGCTCATAATTGATCAGTTTTTGTTTTGTACAGGTTAATTATTTTAGCAACGCTGTTTGTGATAAAACATTTGAAGCCTGTACTAGACAGATCCTAATTGAATTAATTTCAAAGAGCTTAAAGCATCACCTAAATTGGAAAGGGACAGAAAAGAAATATGGAATTAAGGATACGCGGACTGGCCAACTAGTTTTTGGTTTGTACTTTTAATTGTATGCCCAATTTCATGTTTTCTTTGAATTGAATTTTCATGTACAAGTTCATGAATTGCACTTT